CTGAAATGTCGACTTCACAGCAAAAGAGAGGAGTCAATTCCTACAACTTAATTTAGTTCTTATTCTTATCTTCAACCCAAAATATCATCACCACTATCCAGTCCTTTCTTTAAAAGAAATCCATGTAGTCTCAAAGTATGACACATTTACAATACCCTTCAGTGAAAACATTTTCTCATGAGCCGTCCACCTCTTACAGGAATGAACTTGTTAGAATGGTGCCGCCAAGTGAATTTACCTGAGTTCCTGATTACAACTTCTTCAGTCATTTCCAGCCACTGCTTTAGCGCGTATTATATTTATAAATTCCAGCATATCAAAGATACTTATATCAAGCCCTTTTCTCTGAAGAAATAGAAATTCTGAAACAAACAGATTTTTGTCTGTTTTTGGTTCAGAGAAAAATAACGACGCATGGACGTTTCACATAAATTTTCCTATTTGGCATCTTACCTGGCTAACAGACAATGTCACCTATAATTAACCAAAAACATTCTTAACTGTTGATATAGCGTATCTTTTTCTAAAGTAACAACATAATGTGATCACTCTGCAGTTAAGAAACCTGATGTATCCTGCCATAGAAACAACTGATTACAAACATTTATTCTATGTTTTAAACGCCATTAACCAACTGAAACAAGTCCTAACTAGCTCTTTAATAAGCTGATGGCATATGTTACTGTAATATGCATGTATTTCAAAATTGACTGTGCTTCTGTATTTTATTCAGTCTGCTTACAATCTGGTTACCAATGTGAGGAAAATAAGTAATACTTAGAACTTTTAAAAAGAAAGAATTTTCCCTCCCCTTCCATGATTTCAGTATCTTAACAGAAGGTTATGACTAGGGTCATGAGAAGTCAAAAACAAACATGCCAACATGTATGCATCTAAAAACATGGAAATCTATTTGCTGATTACATTTCAAGAATTACCTAAAAGCCATCCAGAGTGAATAAGGTGGATGAATAAATGAAGAAAAGCTGAGTTGCGTTTGAATTGAGAAAGGGCACAAATTTTCTTCAGCTACTCTGAATGTAATTCAAGATAAAGAACATAAACCGTGCTAAGCTACAGCACCATCAGTGGCCTGAGGATACAGTGTATCACAGAGCAGCTACATGTTAAGGCTAACAACGTTCATTTATGGGTACGGCTTCCCATTCAAGCCTGAAAAATTTAATTTCATGACCTCTAACCAGAACTCATATGGTTCTGATTGCAATTCTTTTAAGAATAAGTAATAAAGTTGAGGCAATAAGAATACAGCATCAAATTAGAAATCCAGAATACAATAAATTCAACAAGACAACTGGCATGGGTCTTTAAAAAGTCACTGTCATGAAGCATTGGGGGGAGATGACAAGGAGATTAACCCAGATTAGTAGAGAATCAAAGGACATTATGAGTGTGGTTATATATTCCTGGAATGGATCCTGGATTTAAAATATATACATATCTATAAAAGACAGTTTGAGGGGCATTCAATAACAATGTATTACAGAATTAATGTTAATTTTCTTAGATATGAAAATGGTTTAGGTTATGTGGGAAACTGTCCATATCCTTACAAGATACAAGGTGAAGTACTTAGAAGTATACTTTACAATGTTTATAACATGTCTGTTACAAGATGTAAGATGAAGTACTTAGAAATAGTTTACAATGTTTAGAATGCATCTGTTCACACAATAAAGTATGTGTGTATATACAAATAAACACTCCTGTATATATATACACACACAGGTGCATATATAAACATACGCAAGGAGATAAAACGTGGCAAATTTTTAATGATTAGCAAATCTAGATTAATAGTATTTATACGTTCCATGTATCACTTTTCGAATCTTTCTGAAGACATGTAAATTTCCCAACAGTTTTTTTGAGAAAGTGCCACTTATATTAACAGATACCTACTTCAAGGGACCAACTTAGCATTCTACACCCCTGCCTGTTTAATCTTAGCCTCTAAAACAAGTGGTCTCCAAATCGGGTTCATATATTCTAGGGCAGAGACAAACCACTAAGATATAGGAAGAAAATATTTAAATTTCTATTAATAACTTTTTATCTCACCCTTTTAAGATTTCTATTTTTTTGATGTGCTGCATAATATACAACACGCATTAATACAGTAGAACTTGTAAAACTTGTGAAAAAATATACACACGTATTTTTAAGGTTACATACTCAAAAAATGTTACTCATCAGAGTATCTAGGCAAAATTTTTGGAGACAACGGTTGTATAAAACAGACATGACTTTTTAAGTCTCTGACCACCAAAAGACCATTAAAATCAGTCTCTTTTGCTTTTATCCAGGGGTTTACTGACTCTTAATAGTTTATTAACAGAAATCCTAGGTCTAACAGCAGCGAGACAGTAACGGCAGTGGGAAGTGTTAGCAGAAGCTAGGGAATCAGAGAACTGGCCCAGTGTGCTTTGGCCAGAAGTTAGCACCAATAAAATGCCCAATTTTGTTCATCAAGGAAATCTAGAATTCTAAATACTGAGATTTAAAGTGTTCTAGAATAGGAAAGAGCATTTTTGAAGACTGGAAAACTTCAGAAAAAGATATTACCAAGTACTAAGTAATTTCAAAAGAAGACCATTCTAAGGAAGGATACACATAATCAATGAAGGCAGCTTTGCTTAAAAGTGGGGGTGAAGTGGCCATGTCAGTATAAAGAATACAGCAAACAACGTAGGTAATTGACAAGAACACTTAATGGAATCATGATTCTAAAATAAAAGATAATTGAATATAAGGCCTTTGAGAAAATGTTTACGTAAGTTTCTTCTACATATTTTATTCTAAGGGGTACAAACAGTTAATCCACAAAAAGAAAAATGATACAACTGAAAAATGTAAACTATAGCTTTGTTATTATTTAAAAAATAATAGAAGGTAAGCCATCATGATTACAACTGGAAAGTAAACCAAGAAAATAGTGATTTTACTGTATATCAAACAGATGAAAATTTGAGCCATTATACCAATCAATCTCATTCTGGAAAAGAATTTCCATAATTTTTATAGTTGCATAGTTTATTAGGTAGGGGGCTAATTTGTCTCATATAATCTTGAAGCTGTGGGAAAAAGATGCTTGCAAAGTAAATTATACGCATCGCATAGGAAAGCTCTATCTATCAGAGAAGAAAGATACTGGTCTATTAAGGATTGCAAATGCAGAAACTATGAGGTATAGAAAAAAAGCGCCAGAAGTATATGAAAAAAGAAATCTGTAGGCACATAAAAAGGTCCCTCGCTGCATGGGGAAGGAAGGTAACAGTTAAGGAGAAAGGTGGTGTTAGAAGAGACTGTAAAACCACACTAGTATGCATTACAAATCCACTTACTGCTTCAGGGAACTGGAAGAATATCACATCCAATTGGCCCTGGGCCTGTTGGCTATTGATGCTAGATTGTAACTGGATTGGATTTTTCTCCATTTATATGTCACTATTTTATGAAAAAAACTCAAATTTTATTTTAAAAAGAAGAGAAATAAAATTTGCTTCACAGAAGTTTATGTTACATTTAGTTCTTTTTTTTTTTTTGAGATGGAGTCTTGGCTCTATCTCCCAGGCTGGAGTGTGGTGGCATGATCTTGGCTCACTGCACCCTCTGTCTCCCGGGTCCAAGCAATTCTCCCGTCTCAGCCTCCTGAGTAGCTGGGATTATAGGTGCCTGCCACCACACCCAGTGGCATTTTGTAGAGACGAGGTTTCATGATGTTGGTCAGGCTGGTCTCGAACTCCTGACCTGAAGTGATCTGCCCGCTTTGGCTCCCAAAGTGCTGGGATTACAGGCGTGAGCCACAGGGCCCAGCCTATGTTACAGTTAGTTCATTGTATGAATTATTCTATTCCTTCAAAATAAGCTCAGCTATTAATGAAAAGATTTCTTGAAAGTGCAAAGGCATGCAGGTGTCAGAACCTAAAATCATTCATGCTCCTCACTGGCCCCTCCTATTTCTACCCTTGTCATGTCATCTGAAAGCCAGTGCTTCATTTTCACTGGAGTTTTTCCCCCGGTATTCTCATTTTTAATAACTGAAAGATATACACTATTACAGTAACAGTTTTAAAGAAGTCATCATTAAATCTTTATAAGCCTGGTAACGTAACAGGTAACGAAAAACGCATATGGGTTGTAATAAGGGTAGTTTTTCCTATTCACTGTTCTTTGACTTTTATAGGGCAAAAATCATCCTAGAGAATATGTTATTGATTTTACAGCATGAAAGATATCAAAATTAAAACGGGGAAATGATATGTTTAATATTCCTAAACAGGTATTTATCAAAAGAAAAAAGAGAAATTGGGGAATAGTATATCAGTTAAACCACAGTATTCAAATTGGAGTGGAAAAGATTATAATCTGATCAATGATGTTTACCAAAAAGTAACATAATATTTAAAATGTAAAATTTGACTTCAGGGAAGGGCAACATACTTTAAACACAGGAAACCACAACACAACACTTGAGCGAAACATTAGGTTACCCTTAAGTAATCTTACAGGTGACTAATTTCACAGGCTCAAATTTAAAACTACGGTGCTTTAAATCTGAGCCTGTGAAATTAGTCACCCTTAAGATTACTCACCAAAGAGGTAATCGTCTCTCAAAAAGAAAATAAACAGACTACCTGATTACAATAGTCTTAGAAAATAAGTCAAATTTTCATTTACAGTATAAAACCTGTTAAATCAATTCATTAAATATGATGTTCAACTCAGGTTTTCAGTTAAGTAGTGTCAAAATAATAGTATGGCCTAGCCAGGGAAATGGTAAATATTTAAGATTACAGTGTCAGTGGAAACAGTTTTCGCATGAATTAAAAGAAAAGCACTCATTTGAAAATATTCCCAAGTAGGAAGCCAAAATAATTCCAGTAGAATTTTTAAAAGACCAGAAAAAGCAGCCAAAATATCCAGTTTGAAAGACAACAATAAATATATAAACTGTTAAGCAAAGCCAGGAATGTAGATTACTTTGAAAAATCTACTTATTTCCATTTTAATGAAGAATTAAAGGATACAATGTGTTAAAGACATATTTAGAAGACTAGCAATGGGACAAGACAGATAAATCAAATTTTGTTGATATCCCAAATAATTACAAGAGACTCTGAAAATGTAGTGTAATTCAGGTTTTCTTTCCAGTTTAAAAATTTCTATCCATTGCCTCTATCTTTGGTGTTATTGCCACCAATAAACACAGTATACAGCTTACAAATCTAATTACTATCTTCAACTAGGAAAAGGTAAACCAACATCATTTCTTGAAAAATAAGAAATAAAGAATGTGTCCTACTTAATTTTGTCTCATGGTCCCACAATATTCTGAAATGTCATGCCAAAATGTAAAAGTTCAAAAGGGAACATTATCATTTACTATAATTGCACCAAAAATTTAGCTACTGTACGCTGGTGTGATGACAGAGTAGTATGCAGAGGCTACAGAGAGACGTGTGTGTACATATATATATATAAAATGTTTAGCTTACAATTAGTAAAAGGTTCAGTTTAATGTGAAACTGAAATACACAACAACATAATGCCTTCATGAAAATACGCTACAACTTTGTTTTCTTGCAGTTTAAAAGGATAGTGTGATTACCTTAAATTTACACAGAACATTAAGACACATGGTAGTTGTTTATGATTAAAATAAAATAGCAATGTAAATTAATTTAACACAATGTTAAATATATTCACATGATCACCACTGTGATTCAACATGGCCACTAATGCAGTTACATATCAATATATGTACATAACATTTGCCACAGCAGTTTTTGTAAGTTTGACTTTCTGCGGACCAGGTTTACGAGACAAATAACTTTGTATCGATGTTTTCATATTATGAAAGGAATTAAATGTTGGAAGTAGTTTCATTCCTCTGGGGGAGCGGGAGGGGAGAACCTCTAAAAAGTCAGTGTCAATTGAAGAGAGTTCTACCTTCTTGAATATTTGAACTTGTTGACCAAGAGAGATTCCTATAAGCTGAGGATACACACATCTTAAGACAGTAACGAATCTCATAACACTGTCAGTGGCATTTAGCAGGTGACTGCCACCAAGAGGAACACTGTGTCCTATAGCAGAGCCTTCTGAGAATATGGTTGCTGTGGCTGAGGTGGCTGTTGGCTGCCTCCAGGCTGAGGCAGGGTGGATGATAAGTTATAGTTTGGCACCTGGGACACATTAGGTCCTGCATTCTGGTACAGAGTGACATCGGCGGTTGCAGCAGCAGCAGTAGCGGCAGGAGGAGGACTATAGACTGGAGCCTGACTGGGATACGTGCTTCCTTGAACAGAACTCACCATTGTACTGTGGAGGAAAAAAAAAACCACTCAATTAGATCAATACTGATTTACAGAGCAACTTACAGATAAATGGAAAAGCTATTTATTAAGCATTCATTCATATAGTCAATTCACTTAATAACCTTTCACTAAATAGCTATCGAGTGCCAAACATTGCTATTTTAGGCACTGCGATACCAGGCACTGGGTTAAAAATGTGTTATTTAGGCATTGTGTAAAAAAGGCGGGGGGAGGGTTGCGGGAATAAGCCTATACCACCGTGCGGCTTCTTTTCTAGTGGGAGAAAAAGGGTAAAAAACACATGTATTGTGTGTCAAGTAGTTATAACTGCTAAGAAGAAAAACAAAGCACAATAAGCAGGACCAAGAGCAGCTGGGGTGAGGGATTCTACTTTAACATAGGGGGCCTCTGTAATAAGGCAATATTTAAACAGAGATGTGAAAAAAGTGAGGGACTTTTTTCCCAGATAGAGTCTCTAGGAAAATGCATTTCAGGCAAACAGAAGGCTTTGAGGACAGAAAACACCAGGTGTTTTCTGCAGCAGAGGGGGCCAAAGGGAGAGCAGCTAAGATCACCCAGCGAAACTGGGGTGGTGGGGACAGGGCTGGAGAACACACCGCGCCTGACGGCCACAGTAAGGGCTGCGGCTTATACTCTGAGTGAGACAGAAAGACATTAGCTGGTTCTAAGCAGAAGGATGATAAGATTCCATAGGGTTTAACAGGCTCCCTCTGGACCAGGATAGCTGACTGCAGGCTGTTATAATCGACCAGGAGAGAACTGAGGGACAGCAGAGCCATGGTGATAATGGTGGAGATGGGAGAAAGGGTCAGATTCTAGATATTTTCTGAAGATAATGCCTTCAAAATATGACACTGAACAGAAGAGTTCAAAAATGCCTGAGGTTTAGAACCAAAAAACTGGCAGAAATAACTGGTAGAGTGGCCATTCACTGAAAAGAATACTATGATGGGACTACAGGAGACTTGGGGTGGGAGGAGTGTGGGAAAGACCAAAGTAATGATCGTGGACCTGTCAAGTACGGTGTCCAAAATATATATAAGCAAAGAGAATGCATAGGCAGTCAGCTATTTATGCCTGTTGCCCCATCGGGAGATGCGGTGGGGAAATACGCATCTGGGAATCCTCGGCAGATCCCCGGCATTCAAAACCACAGGGCTGCATGAGATCCCCTAGGGAGCGGCTACAAACAGAAAAAGGCAGTCCATCTACTGAGCACTGGACCTTGAAGTCAGGAAGATAAAGAGCTAAGAGGCAAATGAGACTGAGAAGAAGTGGCAGAAGGAAAAAGAGAACGGTCATGGGCAAGTGAAGAAGGTATTTCAGAAAAGAGGAGGGAAGAGCAAACTGTCAAATGGAGGACAATGGTGAACTGACCAGGAGTCTGGCAATATGGGGATCACCAGTGTCCTTGACAAGAACTGTCCCAGTGGACTAGTGGAAGGGAAGGTCTCATAACCTCCTTTCTCACATTTCCCTGAAAATACAGAAGCACAAGCTCCACCAGCACACTGATCAACTCTCTGCAGCTGCACCCCTTTGGGTACTGAGCTTGGCCTCCTGCTCCCACTGCTCTGCTGCCAGTACTCCCATCTCAAGCCCCTCCACTTGTATACTGCCCCAAAAAGAAAACCTTCAAAGGGTTGTCTTCATCTACTGCCTCTACTTCCTGTCTTCCTATTTCCAACTGCATACATATATTTCCACTGTAAGACACTAGGTTAGCTATGTAAAGAGAGGTACTAAGATGCTCTAACACTGAGAATTCCCTCTACATTTGCATTAAAAATATAAAACAAACTATATAAAAAGCAACAGCCAAATTTTCAAAATATTGCCTATTTCTAAACTTCCCTCCAATTGTTAAATTACTTATAAATCTAATGTTGGCAAATTCAATGCTCTTGTACTCTGCACAAATGCATTATTTGATGGTAATTATTATGAGATAGTAATTTAATGCTACATATCAGTAACATGGTGACCGAAGTCATTATTTGTCATCACTCCATGTATGTGAGATATAAAGTTGATCAGAAGATGTCAAATTTCGGCCAGGCGCAGTGGCTCACGCCTATAATCCCAGCACTTTGGGAGGCCGAGGCGGGTGGATCACGAGGTCAAGAGAGCGAGACCATCCTGGTCAACATGGTGAAACCCCGTCTCTACTAAAAATACAAAAAATTAGCTGGGCATGGTGGTGTGTGCCTGTAATCCCAGCTACTCAGGAGGCTGAGGCAGGAGAATTGCCTGAACCCAGGAGGTGGAGGTTGCGATGAGCTGAGATCACGCCATTGCACTCCACCCTGGGTAACAAGAGCGAAACTCTGTCTCAAAAACAAAAACAAACAAACCAAAAAAAAAGATGTCAAATTTCATGCTATTATTTACAATGGTAGGGGCCACAATACTGCCATAATATGAGTCTATGTGCTGAGTTCTGGAGTCAGAATGTCTGGTTTAGAATATTCGCTAAACGGGACTTTAGTTCTGTCTCCAGGTCTCAGTTTCCCCATCTATAAAATGGGGTACTAATTTACCAACTTCATAGGTTATTATGAGGAATAAGTAAGTTATTTGTGTAAAGCATATAGCACAGTGCTCGGCACATACTAAATAACCCTTAAATGTTAGCATTACAGTAATCACTCTCAATTTACAGTTCCACCGTCCACCCAGTTGCCTGGAGCAAAACCAAAACCGTGCAATTCGACAACACTTTTTTCTCTTATCTCTGCAGTGCACTATCTCCCAACCATATCATCCAATATATAATTATTTGCTAATCTCCTAAATAAGTCTTTCCAATTAATAGCACTGTATCTTGCCAATAAATACTCATCATTTCTTGCCTAATATCCGTGGTCTCCCAGCTTCTAATCTTGCCACAATGAATCCATCTACACTACTGCCATTTAAAGCCCTTTCTGAACTTTTTCATTATCCCTAAGATGTTATCTAGGACCTGCATTCTCCGACCCCTGGCAGTGTCTTCGAATACGTCTCTCCTGGATGTGGAGAAACAGGAACACTTTTACACTGTTGGTGGGAGTGTAAATTAGTTTAACCACTGTGGAAGACAGTGTGGCATACCTCAAGGACCTAGAAATAGAAATTCCATTTTATCCAGCAATCCCATTACTGGGTATATATCCAAAGGATTATAAATCGTTCTACTATAAGGACACATGCACACAAATGTTCATTGCAGTACTGTTTACAACAGCAAAGACCTGGAATCAACCCAAATGCCCACCGAAGATAGACTGGACAGGGAAAATGTGGCACATATACACCATGGAATATTATGCAGCTATCAAAAACGATGAGTTCGTGTCCTTTGTAGGGACATGGATGAACCTGGAGAACATCATTCTCAGCAAACTGACACAAGAACAGAAAATCAAACACCACATGTTCTCACTCATGGGTGGGTATTGAACAATGAGAACACATGGACACAGGGAGGGGAGCATCACACACTGGGGTCTGACAAGGGGAAATAGGGAAGGGACGGAGGGGTGGGGAGTTGGGGAGAGACAGCATGGAGGGAAATGCCAGATATAAGTGATGGGGAGGAAGGCAGCAATTCACACTGCCAAGTGTGTACCTATGCAACAATCCTGCATGTTCTTCACACGTACCCCAAAACCTAAAATGCAATAAAAATAAAAATAAAAAACAAATACATCTCTCCCTGCTCCCACAGATGCTTTAATCCGCTGGTAAATGTGCTGCTGGAATGCCGACATGTGCCATGCCTTTCACGCCTCCCATCTTTGCTCACTCCGCGGGTACCATGCCATTCCAGACTACCACATCTTTGTCACAACAGAACATCTTCCTTGCTTTTTTTCTATTGGCTAAGAGTAACACTCTTGGAAAATCTCAAACCCTGAGGCTTCTAAAGCACAAGGCATATATCTTTCTTTATTTGTAAATCATGTTGTAATAAATTACTTTTTTTTTTTTTTTTTTGAGACGGAGTTTCGCTTTTGTTACCCAGGCTGGAGTGCAATGACACAATCCCGGCTCACCGCAACCTCTGCCTCCTGGGTTCAAGCAAATCTCTTGCCTCAGCCTCCCGAGTAGCTGGGACTACGGGCGCACACCACCATGCCCAGCTAATTTTTGTATTTTTAATAGAGACGGGATTTCACCTTGTTGACCAGGATGGTCTCGATCTCTTGACCTCGTGATCCACCCGCCTCGGCCTCCCAAAGTACTGGGATTATAGGCGTGAGCCACCATGCCCGGCCATAAATTACATGTTTTTTATGTGTTTGTCCCTACTACTTAGTAAGCGCCTTGAAGCTAAAAACTCTCGAGTGCCTAACATAGTGCCTGGCACATGCTGAATGCAGTAAAGTCAAATCAGAGACAAATGAATACATAAGCTTCAGTGGTCTTATAATATTAACAGTAATTATCACTTATTATCACCTTATAATACTACCATCACCACAGGTAGCTTTAACAAACTGTTATCAGTGACACCTCCCCCATCTAATAAAAAAACTGTCTTAAGATGACAGAAGTCTGAAAAACAGTTAACTCTAACACCAAAATTTGATGTAACAAGAGACAGCCTCTCGGATATATATAAACTGAGGAGTGCTAAAAAAACCTGCCTACCAAACACAAGGACAATTCTCACTGACCTTGATTTGTCACTAGAAAGCTCAAGTCAAATATGCAGGACACCTCTAAGTAAGGAGACTTCTAAACCTCGCCCTCACTCCTTCCAATCTCCTCACCCTACATATGCTCTACCAGCAATCCATCATTTCCCAGTTTAAACATACACTTATTTGTTTTTATATATTGATAAATATATATTACATGTTGTACCTTTACATATAGATAGTTAAATGGCCTCTAAGCCTTTGTGAAGGCTTTGCAGGGAATTTTAAAAAGTACACCTAACTGGTCTAATACAGAAATTGAAATTGTCATTAACACTGAAACATGTATTTATAAAATATTTACTGAGTTCCTATCCAGTATAAAACTCTGTGCTACACAGTATGGGTATAAGGTGAAAGAGACAGTGCCAGCTCTCAAGATATTGTCATTCAGTGGGGATACAAACAAGTAAAAAGGCAACTACCAGCCAGGACACAGAGTACACACACAGTCCTCTGCCACCAGCCAGGAGGAACAGTGCTGCAAGGTGGGAACGCAAGGAAGATGTCCCAGAAAAATGCAGCTAAGCTTACAAGAATATGCAGAATGAGCCAGGACCAGAGGGCTAATATTTCAAGAAAATGCTCTTCAAAAGGCACCTGTTGAAATGAACATGTGGTCCTGGAGAGGTGACATTAATAGCTACACTATATGGGTAGGGTTGGGCCCGTGCCCGGGATTTCACATCCCGAATGCAGAAGCAGAGTCACTTACAGAGTGAGTGAGCAGCAGGGTGCCACAGTGTTACAGAACTTCACTGTTGAAGCACCTACCAACAGTTTCTCTCGTTCACAAGGATAATTTCCCAAGGCCTTGACCTTTAAGAATAATCTCAAATAATCTCTAGTAACAGGGTAGATAGAGCAGCATGTGACACATTCAAACAGAGGCCTAGCAGGGGAAAGGAGGCATTTCTGGCTAATACTAAAATAGCTGAAGGGTCCTATGTAAGTCAGGAACCTTAGTTGTCTTCTCAGCAATTCCTACCTTCTACCCACTTTGCATCTAGTTTTAAAGCAACATGTTACTCTAAGAAAAGCTGCTTGCTTATTTTCCATAAGAGTATTCATTTCCACAGGGAAAATGTGGCACATATACACCATGGAATATTATGCAGCCATCAAAAACGATGAGTTCGTGTCCTTTGTAGGGACATGGATGAACCTGGAAACCATCATTCTCAGCAAACTGACACAAGAAAATCAAACACCGCATGTTCCCATTCATAGATGGGTGTTGAACAATAAGAACACATGAACACAGGGAGGGGAACATCACACCCTGGGGTCTGTCGGGGGAAATAGGGGAGGGACAGTGGGGGGTGGAGAGTTGGGGAGAGATAGCATGGGGAGAAATGCCAGATATAGGTGACGGGGAGGAAGGCAGCACATCACACTGCCATGTGTGTACCTATGCAACTATCTTGCATTTTCTTCACATGTACCCCAAAACCTAAAATGCAATTAAAAAAAAGAATACTTCCTGCAGCTAAAATATACTCAGTATGTATCACAAACAATTAAATAAACACTGTAAGTGTCAAAAAAAAAAAAAAAAAAGAGTATTCATTTCCACCAGATCTCAACTTAAAAAAAAATTCTGCAAGAGAGCAAGCTAAAATTAACATTTTTTCTAAGCTACATAACCCACTAGGGAAGGCCCTGTTTTCTGACACTTAGAATAGGCCTCACCATCATTGCCCTTAAAGTCATTTCAGAATACTAGATCTGACAACAAAATAATGCTTGAAAATCTCCAAGCACCTCCAACACGTAACTCTTTGAGGATGAATAGTGCAATAGAGAGGGCGGGACAGGAGCATTCCTGGGCACTCCCGACTCTGCTGGAAAGGTTTCTAGAAGTTGTGCCTGCGCTACCTAGAAACAGCTACCTGTTGCCAGCCAGAATATCATAACTTCTAGAACACACGCTGGTAAACTCTTAAAAGCCCATTCTTTACTTGCTTCAAGGAAAAAATTTCAGCTTAGAGTCCCATTAAAGCAAAAAAAAAAAAAAAAAAAACACTTACATCATAATCATTTAACTACATGACAGAGAGCACTGTAGGTAAATGGGCCTCTGTCATCACATCTACAGCCAACTGCCTCCTGAGAAACAAGGGCACTTATCTTCTTGTATCTTCTTGTTTCAAATGGGGTGCCTTGCTATAATGTAAACTACATTCCAAAGTAGGGCAAAAATAAGAAAATATTTGTCTTAAAGAGACAGCCCAGAACTATATATTTTTAAATCTCACGATTTAGATGTTATATAAAATGTGTGGGAAAATGACAAACTATAGTCATTAAATGTAAATTTCATTAGCGACATTATCAAATATCATAGATACAAATAAAAATAACAATAAAAACTTATGGTAAGGGTAGTATTAAAAATATTGGCTGAAACCAAGTTATAGGAGTTCAGTGAGTCAGGAAGCAGAGGACCAGCTTGCTGGCTGGTCCTGTAACACCACAGAGGCTCCACCACTCATCACCACAAATGGGGCCACTATATGACACTGACCACAGATATTTATGAGCCAGATTTTATAGTTATAGATTACTGGTGGCACTTTGCCAGCTCTAACACCACTAACTCCAAAGAAGAATCTATAGTCAAATTACTTTGGGTAAGCAGCCTGAGTTGGCTGACTAGGAAGGGCTGGGTTTGCGGATGGCGGGCCCACTGCCTGGCTGAGAGAAGACAGCTGCTCCGGGGGAAGACTGTAGCTCTGGAGGTGGCTCATCTGCGCGTTCCCCGCGACCAGGTAGGCACCACTTGGAGGAGGCCCTGCATATACCTGGGACGGTTAAAGAGAAACCATATTCAGTTCTAAAATTTTAATAAGCACACCATACGTTCTCTGTAGAGGTAGTCAGTTACAAAAACAAGAAAAATTACCACTCTGGAATCCTTTCTTAAAAGTTACTTCTGTCAACTGACATTATGAAAAACATTTTTCAATGAAATAGGCTATGGACAGTTTTCATTTTTAGTTAAACATTAGCTGAACTCATGTTTATCTCCATACTGAAGCATTAAAGAAACGGGCCCTGAAACTTTATACTAATATAATTTACCTTTCCATTAAATATATTTTAATATTCTGCATGCTGGTATTTTTTCAGGAATCCCAAAGGATATTTGGAAAGTGTATTTGAACTCATTGTTTTGTAGCCGTAGACTGCAATGGATACAAGACACATTACCTAAACTGCAGTTTACCGAACAACAGAGCAAGCTAATTTTTTTTTTTTTTTTTTTTTTTTGGGAGATGGAGTTTCGCTCTTGTTACCCAGGCTGGAGTGCAATGGCATGACCTCGGCTCACCGCAACCTCCACCTCCTGGGTTCAGGCAATTCTCCTGCCTCAGCCTCCCAAGTAGCTGGGATTACAGGCATGCACCACCATGCCCACCTAATTGTTTGTATTTTTAGTAGAGAAGGGGTTTCACCATGTTGACCAGGATGGTCTAAATCTCTTTACCTTGTGATCCACCCGCCTTGGCCTCCCAAAGTGCTGGGATTATAGGCGTGAGCCACCATGCCTGGCCGTAAACTTACTTTTAGAAAGTTTCACACTGCTATTCCAAATAATCTCAAATGCATTTGAGAATATATTTATTTATTTATTTAACAGGGTCTCACTGTTGCTCAGGCTGGAGTACAGTGGTGCAAACATGGCTCAGTGCAGTCTCAACCTCCTGGGCTCAAGCAACCCTCCTTCCTCAGCCTTTCGGATAGCAGGGACCAAGGAACATGCCCCGGCCTGGTTAATTTTTTTTCTTCTGTAAGAGATAGGGTCTCACTATGTCCCAGGCTGGTCTTGAACTCCTGGTCTCAAGCGATCCTCCTGCCTTGGCCTCCCAAATTGCTGAGATTACAGGCATGAGCCACCATGCCTGACCAAGCATTTGAGAATTTAAAACAACATACTGGGGCTTTTAAAAGCTTACCTGAGAACCAGAAACACCAGATGACTGCATATAATATGGCTGATTCTGTAACTTTGCATACATGGAATACATGGGATCTTCGTTCATTAACTTGGTATATAGGGAAAGTGCCTCCATCACTTTCACATTAAGTTCTGAGAGTTCTGAATGTTTTCTGAAACATGACACAATAATGTGAAATATAGTTGGTGCTGAAATGATTTAATGTTCTAAATAATGGCACACCAAAATATCAAAAATAGCAAAAAGTAGTACTAGTAGACATTATTAAAAATTTCACCTATAACAAAAATATCCTGCACTTTGGCCCTGAGGCAACCAAAAGTGTTTAGGTTTATTAGGTGCTGTGCTGAGAGAACTCTAGCTTATCGTACCTGACTCTGCCAGAAATAGCTTGGTTTCCCTAGTTACTAACATATGGGTCACTTGTGAGCTCTGATAATGCCACTTCAGCAAAGATGATTACACAGCTAGCCCTTGTTTTTACAAAGACCTATATGTACTGGTCTTTTTGACTATATTGTAAAGGTCAATCAAATCCTCACTTTAAAAAAGAACAAATGAGTCTAATTCTCAACATCTAGCAGAAGACAAGTGAATGAGAATTGGTTCCTCCAGAATATTTTTTTTAAAAACAGGCAGTTATAGCCCACTTTGCAGTTTATAGAGACAGCTTCAGGAAAGAAGGTACACAATATAATGCACCCATGTTCTTTTACCTATCGATATCTTCCAGCTTTTCATCAATGAGAGGTCCCATCTGGTGACACATTGCTAAAATGACAAGATTTGAAGAAATATAAGAAAGCACAAGAAAAGAACGTGAATGTTTCATAGATATTTATATAATTTAAGGAAAACATTTAATTTGGAGTAATAAAAATATACACTCATTAACCTTAGTCCACAAGACCCAAAATTAATTTTCTTAAATGTAATGGTGCCAACTTAATCTAAAATATTAATTTCAAAATCTTAAAGTACCATTTTTCATTTTACAAGATTCCAAAATGTTGACCAGAACATGTAGTTTGGATAGAAAACTCTAAGAATTCAAATTCTACCCAAGGTTTAAACTGCATATGAAAGTGAGCCTGGGTCAAGGAGAAGTGAGAAATGTTCCATTTTTAATATCATTTTCAAAACCTATTCTTTAACAGGACACCAGTTACTGACCTCTAAGTATTCTTTATTTGCAAGGTATATAGAAAACAAGTTTTACCTTCAAGATGAAGTAGCTCTGGTAGGTCTGGCTGATCATCACTGGGATCTGTACTTTGCAACATTTGTAGCAACTGGTCCATTTTATCCTACAGGAATTAAGTAGTTAACATAAAAAGCAACCAACCTTATATGCAACTTTATGTTCTTACTTTATTAACTAGACAAACTTTCAAAATTTATAGTTATGAAAACTCCAGTTTTGCTTTTATGTTTTCAGTGTCCCATGTATTTATTCTCTTTAGAACAACATGAAATCAGAGCCTTAAAAGTGTTTTCCACATATTTTTGAAACTGCTCAGGAGGCTGAGATGGGAGAATCACTTGAGCCCAGGAGGTCAAGGCTGCAGTGAGCTATGGTCTCACCACTGCACTTTAGCATGGACAACAGTGCAAGACCATGTATGTATGTATGTATGTATGTATGTATGTATGTATGTATGAATAAATACAGCTGCTAATAGAGATTCTCTTAAATAAGAAGAAAATGAGCCACACTTAAACTTAAAATGTGTGAGTTCTTCTACCTCATGTCATGCTAGAGAATTTTGCTTTGTTTTGGAGCAGCTTTAGCTTAGCCATGCCAACAAGTGTACTATCCATCTCAAGATGGCATTGCTTATGACTAACAACTTGCTCATTCCTTCTCCCCCATGGTGACTACAACAGCCGTTTGAGTAAGGCAGAGCTCAGCTGTATCACAGCTACTCTTCTAAGTGGGACTCTCAGGATTTATTCTACATTTTCTTTCTACCAGTATTTTAGTTAATCATAAAAGGAAGGAAGACGACCAGTGGTTTCTCTATTTTCCTATGTGGGAAAGGCTGGACGGTATCTAAAACCAGTGACACAGATCTATTTCAGAATCTTTGGTTGTACAGAACAATGGAACTAATGAAACCATCATTACATAAACACATCTGTATGATATACAAGTACATATGTATTTATGTTTTTCAAAAAGTCAAAATATATGTACTCTACCATCACTACTACTAAAATAATTACAACCCTTTCTCCGTGCATGGTTTTTACACGGTTATGCTACTATACATGGGTACGTAGGGCGAATAAAGACTGCTAATTCTAAGCAAAGTAATTATTTAAAATTTCAAAATTATGTTCTATGTAAAAGAAAAATATCTTCAGAAACAAATTAATCAGAGTGAAAGTGACATAAGTATACAAAAGAAACTCTTCCCAAGTCAAAAGAATTCTGTATTTTGAAATAAATACTAATATTCAAAATTTTCATTTTAAGCAGTCTTAAAAAACAAAAGCACATGTCAGAAAGTTTGCATACCACACACACACACACACACAAAGGTCAAATGAAAGTGAGAGTCAATTAACACACAGATGGTTTCTGTTGTGTTTGCTTACAGAATACTTATTATTTAGTGTCAAAGAAATAGGGTTTCTAGATAGACCACTAGTCTGCCTCTGCAAGCATTTTCTTATATAATGCAATCACCCAAACATAACTTCCCCTAGCACAGGTGGATTTCTTGCCCTTAGTAGAGTCTTTCACAGTCTGTTTTGCTCTTCAAATTTTGTTTCTGTCTCCCACAAAAGACTGTTAAAAGCCCATAAACCCCTTCACATATTTCAAAGATAACATCTCATTTTTCATAAGTGTAAAAGGTTACAAAGGATAAGATTTCCAGGACATTAAGTGTTGACATTTTAATGTAAGACGGTCAAAAATTCCTTTAAAGGGATTTAAACATGATAGCAATCTGCTGCACTCACCATTACAATTCAAAACACAGTCTCTGTCAGATATTTCAAATTGTTTTTCTCCTTGAACTTACCATATTTCCACTCAATTTCCCCCTTAAAATTTTATCCTAATATACTTGAAAGTCTACTGATGATCAAATGAGATTTCTTTGCACTAAAAAATATGTACACTGATAAAACTCTAGGTGTTAGATACATTCATATGTATAAGTTTATTATTATTAATAATATATTCTTATTTTTTGTTTTTATTGTTGAAAGTGAGGAGAAATTTGTTCATATAATCAAGCTATTATAGTAATATCATTAAGTTCTTTCAGTATCTTCTGAGTTCTATGCCAGGAATGACAGTGGTCTGCCATTTAAAATTATTTTTAATGGACTAGCTGAAAATTCACTTTGGTCCTGTTTTTAAAAGCAAAAACATGAAACCATTTCAGCTGTGTTAGCTAGTCATTAGAATCATTACTCTTAATACCAACACCAATATGTGGAATCATCCCTGGTAATCCTTATACTCTGAGGCAATGTACCACAGTAGTCTTCACTATGGGCAAGGGGTAAGCCTTTCTCTGTAAAGCGGGAGAGGAGAGGGGAAAAAATGACAAATGGTAGGAAAGAATGTTCTCAGGAAGATCAGTTTTAGAAAAGAATGCTATAGCAGTAAATGAGGATCTGAAGATTCTCTTTAAATTATCTATACCAGGGGTCAAGCAAACTTATTTTATAATGGCCAGCCAGTAAATACTTCAGGCTTTGCAGGCCATATGATCTCTGTTGCTCCTACTCAATTCTTCCACTGCGGCACAAAAGCAGCTACAGACAGACAATATATAAACAAACGTGTCTGCATTCCAACAAACAAGCAACAGGCTAAATTTGGCCTGTGAGTTTGCCATCCCTGATTTATACACTGTGACACTTGAAAAATCCTGTATGGGCTGAGTGCGGTGGCTCCAGCCTATAATTTCAGCATTTTGGGAGGCTGAGGTAGGCAGATCACAAGGTCAGGAGATTGAGACCATCCTAGGTAACATGGTGAAACCTCGTCTCTACTAAAAATACAAAAAATTAGCCAGGTGAGATGGGACGCGCCTATAATGCAGCTACTCTAGAGGCTGAGGCAGGAGAATTGCTTGAACCTGAGAGGCAGAGATTGCAGTCATCACGCCACTGAACTCCAGTCTGGTGACAGAGTGAGACTGTGTCTCAAAAAAAAAAAAAGAAAAAGAAAAAGAAAGAAAAATCCTGCATGATTTGCTAGTTGCATAGTTTAATGTTATATTATTAATTCAACAGTTATGGTAATGTTGTTATTTTCCAAACACAGTAAGTTTGAATAGAAAAAGACAACCACAAACAGGCTTTTTACTTTTTCACAAACATGCTTGAAGATGAAAAAGGTAGCTAGTTTTAATCTTTCCTTCATATGTAGTAACAGCAGATGTTTCTGTAAAGCTTAAGTAAATAGGAGGATTAACTTAATTCAAGAAATCGCAAATCTAAGTCCCAATAATGCAAATTTAGGTACCATTATGTGGCTCCAAAAATTATGCTATGTCGCCAAGTTGTTATTATATTTTTAAGCATAACTCCTAAAAATATACATTGTTTCAGGTGTGACAATGACATATGAAGACATTTAACATAAAATTCGCATAAGCTTTTCCTCAAATACTAGAATGTGTTCAATACAAGGAGGAACAATGAATCATCTCCAGTGAGACTCAATATATTAGCACTGCTTTTATGAAATGATTTAAGTAGAGGTAAGTTAATGACAATTTTATTTTTAGAATCATAATTTGTTTCATTCAACAGATAGCCAATGAGCATCCCTTCTGCAGTAATGTGCAAACAATCTTAATATCCTTGTTGAGTGGTGGGGAAACAGTTCTTGCATGATATCAACAGGAGTGTAAAAACCTGTTTTGCTCAACAATTTGACAGTATCTATTAACATGGAAAACATATAAATCCTTCTCAACAGTTTTACTCCTGATATCTACCCTAAAGAAACACAAAGATAGATGTTAAAAAGAAAAAACTCACTATGACACTGTAAAAATTCTAAACAACCTAGGCATTAAACGGTAGATTCAATAAATCATGATAAGCCCACTCTATGGAATATTCAACAGGAATTTAAAATGAGGCTCTGACATGGCAAACATAGTACTGGAGAGAACGTTTCAAAAACAATCTGCATCATCTATATTGCTTGAATTTTTATAACAAAAAAATACAAAATGTTTACAACAAAAAAACTCAAGTAATCAGTTTTCTATTTAAAAGCAAAACCATTTACATTTCAATACAAAGTACCAACTCCTATCACCATGGAAACCACTTACCTCATCAATAAAGGCTGGTTCCGGCTCTGGTTCTATTGTTTCTACCTGAACATCATCACTAAATTGTACCGTCTTCTTCTCTGTTTTAACTGTAAGATATATAAAAATTATTCTTTCTTTATAACAAATTTAATATTCTGCTTTAAAGCACTTTAACTTCCAAGAGAGATCTGGGGATTTTTCTTATATTCCCAGCCAGCTGAAAGGCGTACTTTAAGAAATAACTGGGCAGTAATTACACAACATTACTTTATGAAATTCTATCAAGATTTCTTAATTTTCTCTTGTAAACATTTTATATTTTCCATAAAAAGAGATTTCACTAAAAATATGAGTTATATTTCTGAAAAAAGATTAATCAACCACTACATATCAGAGTTTAGTAAGCTGGAGGACAAAAGCAAAGTTTTACAATGGCCTAAGTGAATTCTGCAATTTAAAATAAACCCCTTTTTAAATTACCAATCCTTCAAGGAAAAATCTCATTTGATAGAAAAAAATCTGGTTTGAGAGAAAGATCACACTACTCCAATGTAACGAATGGGAAAATCAGCTATGTATTCTCTGGCGTGCCAGTTAGGCTTTTACTAAGAGAATGACGTCCAGGCCAGTGGGGAACTCTGCAAGTGGCCTTGGCAGGGATCTCAGTTTTCCAACAATTCAGTCTGTATTTTCTAGTTACATAATATTATTTGACATTTAAAAGTGGTCATTGAGGGATCAACAATCCATTGGCTGGAAGCACATACTTTTCCTACTCACCAAAGCAATCTTTAAAAACTATTTAACATCATGATAGCTATATGACAACCTCCATTGTATGATCTCTGTTGAGAGGCACATTCAACTCTAATGAACACACTTCCTTTCTTTATTTTTAATCCTTGCATCAATGTGGTCAATCAGAATTCATAAAAATATTAAGAATTACGATGAAAAGGGAGATGGGAGGGAGCAATTTAAGGAAGGGAAGTAATGCTTATTAAACTATTGAATATGCTTGATGGAATACTACATTTCCTCCAGTGAATCTCCAACACAATCCCATAAGATAAGCCCATTTTATAAATAAGGTGGTCTGAAAAGATTAAAAACTCTTGTAAAACAGAAAGCTTTTAATGACAAAGCCTGTAAATGAATGCCAATCTATTTTCCTCTACTAGCCCACACTTCTGAAATCTGGCCTGCACTTGTGATTTTATCCCGAGAACATGAAGTCTGATCACTTATGTACTCTGTGTGGTGTGCTTCTATATAACATAGAAATAGCTTAATCTCCAACCTAAGAAATATAGTCATTCCATTCAAGTCACCAAAAGCAAAATTCTATATACAAAATAAGTTTCATCTGATTCATTTTCCTAGGAAGGAAAAGAAACATCTCCTGCAGTCATTTTTGCTTTTTATATCTTGAGCTATTACAAATAGAAAGCTGGAATAGCACCGCATTGTCCTTTACCCATAAGAAAACACATGGCAGACTTCATATTCTAATAGCTCTTGATACACAAGTTTGCAGCCCCTTTTCTTACAGGAACTAATAGTATGAGTGTATAAAAAACATTATTTATATACAACATATAACAAAGCATTTGCACAATATTTCACTGTATCTCCAAAACAAAAGCAAGCTAAACAGGACAGCTATTTCTATCTGACAGGCTAAGTGATGAGGGCTTCTATTTCCTCAAAAGAATGATGCTCTGGGGCTCATGCTAGCGCCTGCTCTCCACGCTTGAGAACTACAACCCCATTCATAGGCTCTGATGCTTCGTTTCTGTTTTATATTGTCCAGAGTGATAAAACATAAGAAGAACTAGAAAACTCATATTGAAGCTGCATTGCTAAATGACTTTAAAAAAAAAAAAAAAAAAGATGAAATGACTCCAGGATCTACATGAGATCCTGGACCTTATCTTGAATGAAACTCCAAGCAATTCTATCCTTTCCAAGAACTGATTGAGGACAAAAAAAAAAAAAAAAAAAAGGAAATAAAACATAATTACCAGTCCAGGTTATTAAAAAGTCAGCACACTATGTAATGCCATTTTAAAAAGGTGGACATATTTTTGAATTCTCACAGACACAGAAAACATCATTGAAAGACTGGGTCTCACCAGTCTGTCTCTATAAAAATAAGACCAGACACCCTGGCAGTAACTATAAGAGCCCACCATTTTCTTAAAGATCTATAATTCCTGGTTTGCTGTTAAAGCCTTCTCTTTCAAGAGAGGTAATCTCTTTATTGTTAACATATGTTTCTGTATCATTTGTTCTTAAATATTTATGTAGTATGTATTATGAATAAGATTTACCCCTAGGAGCAGCTAGAAATAAGAAAGATGACCAGGACAAAGTTTTTTTTTTTTTCCCCTTAAAATTCTTATAAACTAAAAAACACCTAAGCATCTTGTGGTTTGTAATTTTCTTTGATCCCTTCTATCTAGATAAACCAAAAAACACCTAAGCATCTTGTGGTTTGTAATTTTCTTTGATCCTTTCTATCTAGCATTAAAATAAGATAATATGAGCTATTTTGCCAAATAACTGTGGCATACCAACCTATAAGCTCTTTAAAATTTTAAACATTTTATTATCAATCCAAATCTTTCTAGGTTGGTACATATTTTTCTGTTTTCCTAAAAAAGGAAGATTATGACTTAAACTTTGCTTAGGGTTGGGCATGGTGGCTCACGCCTGTAATCCTAGCACTTTGGGAGGTCAAGATGGGCGGATCACAAGGTCAAGAGTTCGAGACCATCCTGGCCAACAAAGTGAAACCCCATCTGTTCTAACAATACGAAACTTAACCAGGTGTGGTGGTGCGTGCCTGTAATCCCAGCTACCGAGGAGACTGAGGCAAGAGAATAGCTTGAACCTGGTAGGCAGAGGTTACAGTGAGCACAGATCGCACCACTGTGCCCTAATCTGGGCGACACTGCTGTAAAAAGTTCAGTTTACTCAACTTCCATTAAAAGGAGGATTAGAAAACATCATTTACTGGCAGGCTGGAAAATACTTACTCATTTCTGGTTCAGCAGTGAGATCTGCAGTCACAAAATTAGAAGGAAATAACCCTATGCCTTGATGGGTTTCACCTTTCCACCAGTTAGGATCACTATAACGAACAAAAAACAGTGCTTAACCATAACAAACATTTTTATTTCTACAAATCTTTATCTTTTGTAGTATTTAACTTATACTATTACAAAATTTGAATCTTACAATAACCCACTGAAAAAGCCAGTGAATCTTTCTTTATAATAAAAGAAGAAGGCTCAGAAAAGGTAAGCAGCACAGTTGTTTATCTTTTTGACTGCTGATGTATGCCTTGTAGTTAAGGACTCTCTCCAAAAAAAAAGGCACCCATACGAGAAATTGTCAGCTTCAGGTGGTTCACAGCTTCCAGAGTAATAACCCTTTGTAATGACATCTACAGACAGGCTCTTACCTTCAGTCTCCATTCCTAAATCATTGCTCTTTCTAGTACACAGCAGCAAGTTTTTTTTTCTCTCCCAACAGAACAAATATGAAAGATGACACTGTTCAGTGTAAAACATTCACAAGGAGTACACTCCTAGGTGTAACCTCTAGTACGTGGAAAGCTAGCGAGCACTCAATGTTTCTGAAAAAATGGATGCAAGGTTTTGTACAATTTCTAGCTAACTAGCTCAAACTTTACTTCATTTTCTACTACTCAAAAAAAAAAAAAAAAATTAAAATATGTCTGAATGTTTGTGTCCTCCCCAAATTCACAGGTTGAGGAAATCCTAACCCCCAAAGCCATGGTATCAGGAGATGGGGCCTTTGGAAAGTGATTAGGTCATTAATGAGATTAGCGACCTTATAAAAGAGTGCTCATATGCCCCCTGCTGCCATGGAAGGACCCAGCAAAATGACAGCCTTCTACAAATCAGGAAGTGGGCCTTAAACACACAGTGAATCTGTTGGGTCCCTGATCATGGACTGACACTCCAGAACTATGAGAAATAAATTCCAGTTGTTTACAAACCAGTTTGTCTACGGTTAGTTTGTTATGGCAGCCCAAATGGACTAAGGCAAAGAGATACTACAGGAATAACTTTAAATCGATTTGAGCTGATTTTTAAAAACCACCTACAAATTTGTTCCACATGGATATACTGTTAACGTAAAACTAAAAACAAGCAAACAAAAAACTCGATAGAGTATAGATTTCTCACAAATTCTGTAAGGACATATACATATTCAGTGCTTTTCTAAAACTGTAACTTTTAAAATAATGTAACAATCTACATTACTAGATGGAACCAAAAATAAATAGATTAAACTAGGCCTCCCGAACAAATTAAAAACTACTTAAGTAATAAATAAGAAGAAAATTAAACAACAAAGTAAGAATCCACAGAGAATAACACAAGCAAATCAGCCAACTGTCTTACAGAGAAGCATCTGGGCCAATATTTACTACTATATTTGGTAACTGCAATCAACAGGAATAATATGAAACGCAAAAGCCATACCTATTTTCATATGACTTTTCAATGTAATATTAACATTACCTGTCATCAAGAACTGTAATAATTTCTCCAGCTTTAAAAGTAAGTTCATTATCTTCAGCAGCTTCAAAGTCATATATAGCACGAACTTTTCGGCCTTCATGTTGGTGGTTAGTTAAGAGGTTGGATGTGCTTGGATACAAAGTGGAAAGGGTGGTTGACTGCTGCCTTTGTTCCTTGAGGGACAACTCAATGGCTAGAAAAATGAGTTTTAAAAGACCCAAAAATGTTATCATATCCAACAATCCAGAGAAGTAGAAAAAGATAACAAGGTAAAAGGTATTCTTCTTTCAATAGTATAGTTAGAAACTAGAACATATCCTGATATATTGAACAAAAATCATTTTGTCAGTTTTATTCATTCACTCACAACTGAAAGTTTAAAAATAAATTAACAACAAAAAAAGGGAACAGAATGATAACTCCTATTTTTACTGAACAAATACAATTTAAATTACTCTGGGTAATTAAAAAATATAACCTCTTAGATCTACTTTTTTTTTTAACAGCAGATATTTTGTATTTTTCTTGACCTTTTTAATGTATTCCTATAGCTTAAGTTTTCAAAATAATCATCAAAATTGCCTGGAAACTCAATAGTATGAAGCTTCACCACAGACTTACTAAATCAAAGCCTTAAAGGCAATCTCTGAGGATCAGGATTTCATTGCTCCAAGGGTAATTCTTATCCGTCTAAAGACTGAACCTAACAAGTCCTCCAAAACAGATCTCAAATGAGTCTCCTCTATCTCCACCACTACTGCCCCAGTGCCGACCATCACCATCTGTCAATCAGGCTCTGCAATGTAACCTCAATGCACTGATTATGCTGCTTTCAATTCAACCCAGAGACCTTTCTGCTCTTCCACTCTTGTTTTAGATTAATAAAAGAATAAATGTGAAAACAAAACTTTAAACGTATTAAAAGTCAATATACAAAATCATCTTTTAGAACCTTGAAGTAGGTAACAGTATTTCTTAAAAGCCACAAAAAAGTAAAAATCATAACAGAAAGGTAAACAACTTTAGCTGTCTCAAAACTTCAAATTTCTACTTTATCTAATACACCATTATCAAAGTTAAAGTCAAAAACCAGGAGGAGATATCTACAACAACTGTAACAGGTAACAAATTAATATTTCAAATAAAGATATCTACACATCGTTATTTTATTTAACAAAAGGCGATTTACTCAAGAGAAAATCAGAATAGCCATTTCATATATAAAAAAGGACTCCGTCTCACTAGCAATAAAAAAAAATTAAAATAACAGGACATCATTTCAAACCTACCAGATTCACAAAAGTTAAACTCTTTGTTTTTGGGGGGGGAGAGGAAGGGAGGGAAGGAGGAAGGGAGGGAGGAAGGAAGGGATGAAGGAAGGAAGGAAGGAAGGGAGGAAGGGGGAGGGAGGGAGGGAGAGAGGGAGAGAGGGAGGGAGGGAGGGAGGGAGGGAGGGAAGGAAAGGAAGGCAATCAAGCAATGAGAGAAACATTGCTGACCTGGATCTAGAGGTTTACAAGTTGATTTCTTTTTTTGAGAGAAGGAAAGAAAACAAAAATGAGCAAAGGAGAGAAAGAAAGAGGAAGAGAAAGAGGGAGGGTGAAGGGAAATATTGCTTTATTCTGAAAAAAAATGGGTATTAATAATGGCCAATCAATGTTTCATTTAAACCTATGAGTAGCTGTGATGTGGTGTTGACAAGAATGTATATTTTATGTATTTGAAGTGGAGAGCTCTATAAATATTTATTAAGTTTACTTGTTCCAGATCTGAGTTCGAGTCCTTGATATCCATATTAATTTTCTGTCTCACTGAATCTAAGTCTCTATGTATCTGGGTGTTAAAATCGTTAGCTCTTGTTGTTGCATTGATCCTTTTACCACTATATCTTTGTTGCTTTAAAATCTATTTTATCCGATACGAGAATTGCAACTCCTGCTTTTTATCTATTTATTTATTTATTTATTTATTTTTGCTCTCCATTTGGTTGGTAAATCTTTCTCCATTCCTTTGAGTCTTTGTGTATCCTTGCATGTGAAACAGGTATGGATGTAACATGCCATTGGGTTTTGGCTGTGTCTTTTGATTGGGGGATTTAGTCAATTTTAGGATTACTGTCATTTGATGTTAACTAGCTGTTTGATCCATTCGTTGATGTAAATTCTTCTTTATGTTGGTGCTCTTTACTTTTTGGTATATTTTTAGAAAGGCTAATACTGGTTGTTTCTTTCTGTGTGTAATGCTTCTTTCAGAAGCTCCTGTAAAGCAGGCCTGGTGGTAATAAAATCTCTGAGTCTTGCTTGTTCATAAAAGATTTTATTTTTCCTTCAGTTGTGAAGCTTAGTTTGGCTGGATATGAAATTCTGGGCTGAAGGTTCTGCTCTTTGAGGATGTTGAATATTGGCCCCCACTCTCTTCTGGCTTGTAGAGTTTCTGCTAAGAGATCTGCTGTAAGTCTGATAGGCTTGCCTTTGTCGGTAACCTGACCTTTCTCTCTGGCTGCCCTTAGTATTTTCTCCTTCGTTTCAACCCTGGTGAATCTAACGATTATGTCCCTTGGGGTTGTTCTTCTTGATGAATATCTTTGTGGTGGTCTCTGTATTACCTGGGGTTGAATATTGACCTGCTTTGCTAGTTTAGGAAAATTTTCCTGAATAATTTCCTGAAGGGTATTTTCCAGCTTGGATTCATTCTCTCCGTCGCGTTCAGGTACACCTATCAAACGTAGATTTGGTCTTTTCACATAGTCCCACATTTCTTGGAGACTTTGCTCATTCCTTTTTATCCTTTTATCTCTAATCTTGTCTTCTTGTTTTCTTTCATTAAGTTGGACTTTGACCTCTGATATCCTTTCTTCTGCTTGCATACTTCTCGGAGTTCCTGCATTGTATTCTTCAGTTCCATTAATTCACTTATTTTCCTCTCTAAGTTGTCTATTCTCAATAGGATTTCGTCAAACATTTTTTCAAAGTTCTTAGTTTCTTTACGTTGGGCTACAACGTGTTCTTCTAACTCACAGAAGTTTCTTATTATCCATTCCCTGAAGAGTGATTCTGTTATTGGGATGCGCTCGTTCTCCATCAAGCCTTGTTCCATTGTTGATGTGGAACTGTGATCATCTTTAGAGGGAGAGGCGTTCTGATTTTGAGTATTCTCAGCCTTTTTACGCTGGTTTCTTCCCATCATTGTAAATTTATCCTCCTGTCGTCTTTGAAATTACCAACTTTCAGATTAGGTCTTTTGAGTGGGCGTCCAAGTTGTTAGTTCCCAGGGCCAGAATGGTGGTGTTATGACTGATCGTGCTTTTCTGCCCAGGATTCTCCTGTCTGGCTTCCTTCTTGTGGTCCTAATGGGCGACTCTGCCTTCCTGGGCCTCCAAACCTCGGTCAGAAGGGGAACCAGTCTCGTTTACTCTGCGCCGAGAGCTGCCGCGCCGAGGTGCCGGCGAAACCGCTGCACCAGCCACAAGAGTCGTGCTGGCAACCCCTGTGGTTCCTCCACAGGGGATCTTCTGCTCCGTGAGCGACCAGAATTTGTCTGAAAGTGTGGCGTCCTCTAGTTCTCTGCGCTTTGACTGAGAGCTGCAATCCTGAGCTGTTAGCAATTGGCCATCTTGGATTGTTCCCCAAAAGTTAAACTCTTAAGACTAACAAGTGTTGTCAGAGATTAGTAATAACAGCTTTCATACATTGCTAACGGAAAAGGAAATCACACAACCATGTATGGACCAATGCCATGATCCAACAATCTTGCTTTTAGTCACATGTAACAGAGATAATCACATATATGTGCGCAGAGAATATTTACAAGAATATTCACTGAAGCTTTAATTAAATCAGAAATAATCCACATATTCATCAGTAGGAAGACAAAAATATGGTACACCCATTAGTACACTGCAATATTATAGAACAGTTAACCAATGTATATGTCACATGAAAAGATCTCAAACATAATGTTGCATAAGAAAAGCAAGTGGCAAATGGCACTTAAGAGTGTACTAGCTATGAAAAATAAACTGTTAGACACAAACACCACTTGATACTGTTTTTGGATACATAGTAAAGTAAAACTGTCATAAAAACAGACTGAAAGGACGCGTGTGACAGTAATCGAACTGCCTCTCAAGAGAAAAGGAAAGAACATTGAGGAGGGAAACAAAGTCAATTTCAGCTTTAGCTATAACGTTCTATTTATTTTAACTTTAAATATCTCAGAGGAAACATAGAAGCTTATCTTCTTCCCACCATCAGGGACTTAAAAACGTACCTTTTGCTAAATCTTCTTCTTCTTTTTTGTTAGCCACAGTACCAGGATCCTTGGCTACAAGAGCTGGGCTTGCTTTTGCTTGCTCTGCAGCCTAACAAAAAAAGTGCAACACAGTATTTGAGGGTTGTTATCAAATTTTCCTCCTCTTGCTTACCCTAAGAATTCACATGACCCATCTCATCAATCTAGAACAGATTTCTGAAAGAAGAAATCCAAACTGCAGCAGCTTCCACCTTGAAGGGAGAGGAAAAAGAATCAGAACTGGGAACACAGGGAGACAGCAACTGGACACTTAGAGGAGGCAGCCTAGGCACACTCTCCCAGGTTTGTGTCAAGATGTTCAACTAAAAGCACACAGTACACAAATCAGAGAAGACTTCAATGTGTTTAGAAGAACTCCAAAACCAGAAATGGGGCAGGGAGAGAGAAAGAGATACTTATTTTAAACACAAATAGTTAAAAAAAAATTAAAATATCTATTAATACTTGTAGTTATCATTTCCTTTTGGATCAAGTGTCAGAATGGTATCTTCAGCAACTCAGATTTATATATAATGATATAAATGCTCAAAACTCCTATTTTGTAAACCAAATTACAAATAGTTAATTCTGACAGTATTTCACTGCCTACCTTAAACAAATTGTGTAAATAAGGGAATGCACAGCAAATACATAAATCAATTGACACTTGTGGAATTACAAGTTTCTAAGCCTATGGGCTCCTTGGCCTCTCAGTTTTTGCATAGCATTCAAGGCAAATCAGAATTTAGCCCCTCTTACCAGTCTCCTTTCCAATCATTCTACCAGTTACCAGAAACTGCCAGCAGTTCCTGAGCAGTCTATATACTGGTAGTTTACGTGTCTCACACTCATTTGCTTCTACTTAGAATGTTCCCCCACTATAACTCCTTTTGTTCCACTCACGTTTTTGCCTTTTGAGTTTGAACACATCACTCAGTAATCAGCTAAACTACCATTCTCAATGAAACATCCCTAAACCTGTTAATGACACATTCTCTTGTTTGTTCTTATGATAACACCTTTAAACAAGGTGCTGTGATTACGAATGGTTAAGAATGTAAGCTGTCGAGTTGGGCAGACATGAGTTCAAATCCCAAATCTGCCACTTTCTAGCTGGCTGACATTGGGCACATTAGCCTCTTGGTGCCCCAAGTTCCTCATCAATAAAATGAGTACAATAATAGCACCCACAACTCATGGGCACCTTACAGCCTATTTAGAGTATTAAATTAACACATGTGATTCCAAAATCAGATAAGATGAGCTCATTCAGGGTTTAAAACAAAAAGTATGTAACACGACCTCCAGGGGTTTATAATGTATGTAGAGGTAATGCACATGACAACTACAGCGTGAACGGACCTCTACCCCTACAGATGCAAAGTTTCTATATTTTACATCAAATATTAATTCAAAGTAGATCATGAAAAGTTATGAATGTATATTGTCATTCCCAGAGCTAACAACTTAAAAATGGAATTCTAAAAAATATTCCAGTTGCCACATGTATAGCACTTAGAACAGTGGCTGGAACATAGTAATAGGCAATACATCTCAGCTTCTGTTATAATTATCTGATTACATATCTGTCTCCACAACCAGACTGTATGTTCCTGAGGGAATGTGCCTAAATATTACAAGCAATCAATGTTTGTTGAGGGTATGAAAGGCAAAATTTTCAATATTATATAAAAATACAGTTCTACATTCTGCATTTACTGAATTTCATATTGTCAAACAAACACACAGGCATTTATTTTTAGAAGAGCTGAGAAGAAAAAACTTTTTGGTGTTACTGAATACAACTTTAAACACTCTCAATTCTGACCTATCTCTAAATTTTCTTTAGGTACTGTTTTAGTTATCAAACACTTCTGAAAACGAAATGTATGCCTGGTCAGAAATAACTTTTACGGTTTATATAAATTTTTGTTCATAATCTGGCAAACTTCACAATTAGTTATATTTGAACTTTTATGCTGTGTGAAGAAATCTCTATCAGTTGAGAAGAAAGTGCAGAAACAGGCTATGTGAAGCCCCACATTTCTGAATTGCACTTTTAATTCAAAGTTCCTTTCTTTTTTTTTTGAAACAGAGTTTCACTCTTGTCACCCAGGCTGGAGTGCAATGGCGTGATCTCAGCTCACTGCAACCTCTGCCTCCTGGGTTCAGGCAATTCTCCTGCCTCAGCCTCCTGAGTAGCTGGGATTACAGGCACGCACCACTATGCCCCACTAATTTTTTGTATTTTTAATAGAGACGGGGTTTCACCATGTTGACCAGGATGGTCTTGATCTCTTGACCTCGTGATCCACCCACCTCGGCCTCCCAAAGTGCTGGGATTACAGGCTTGAGCCACCGCGCTCGGCCTCAAAGTTCCTTTCTTTCATCAGGTTCTAAATGTTGCAATGAAACTTGTCTTGCTAAGTAGCCAAGTACACTAGTGGTGCTGCCAGCCTACTTCTATCTCCACATCAAAAGTTACTGCTACCAGAACTGCATCACCATGGGTCAGGTGACTTTCTGACTTTTCTTAATATTTGTACATAATTTTCTTCCGTACTCAGATGAAAAAATACATACTTAGAAAAATATGTCTTCAGAGGTTTTTGTTGAGTCTGCCCTAACAAAAATCTAGTCTGATGAAAACACATTAATGACTTACATAACGAAGTAGCTTTAAAATCTAGAGGGAGTTCTGCAATTGAACTCAGATGATTTATTTTTTCCATTTAATGTGAAGCTCGTTACATGTAGGGCTTATAATAAGCTTTTCAGAAACCACTAAAAAAATCATTCTATCTCATATTTTACTTTATACATATTTCTCATAGGTGAAATATAGCAACTATGACAAGATTAGCTGTTATAACATCTAGATCAAAGGATGAAAAGTAAGTCCAGTCTTTACTATTGCTCTTCTATGTTCTGAATCTCATGAACAAGAGAATAAGCTTATTTCTGTACCATCAAGACATAATGCTCTTGCCGGTGTTCACTCCACTTCTTGTACCTGGAAGCCTGGTCTGGACAGACACTTATCCACTAACCTCTCTATCAAAGAAGGCAGGCTCGGGCTGTGAAAAGAACACTGGACTGAGAATCAGCATGCCTGTGTTCTAGTTCCAGCTGTCAACTATTAGCTGTGGCCCCTGGACAAGTCACTTAACCATTCTGAGTCTCAGTTTCCTCATCTGCAAAAATGAGCAGATTAGATTAGAGGCTCCCTAAAACTGTTTCTGTGGCTAAGATTCTAGATTAACCCAACAAGGGTACATATTGCACAATCATTAACTCTTGTTCCTTTTCTTATAAGAGTAATTACCTCTGTGGACTGAAATGCAGTTTTTGCTTGCACTGAAGGCTGTACTCTAGAGCAGCAGTGCTTCTCAAACCTCAGTGTGCATACAAATCCTCTGAAGATCTTGTTAAAATAGAGATAACGAACCCATAGGTCTGGAATGGGTTCAACCATGTTGCATGTCTAACAAGCTTCCAGGTCATGCCAGAGATGCTGGTCAAACCATGTTTTGAGTTAACAAGAACTGAAGACTCTAGATATATAGTGGATTTGCATTTTCTCTACCTGTTCTAGGTGGGTTCACTGCAGTGAGCCTACTCTTTAATAAATAAACACTGTATCTGTTGTAAAGGAATGCATAATGTCTTGGATCATTCTGCATACGATGATTCCTTAATTACACAGATTCTTTTTTTTTTGAGACAGAGTCTCGCTCTGTCACCCAGGATGGAGTGCAGTGGCATGATCTCGGCTTACTGCATCCTCCACCTCCCAGGTTTGAGTGATTCTCATGCCTCAGCCTCCCAGGTACCTCGGACTACAGGCACTCGCCATCACGCCTGACTAATTTTTGTAATTTTAGTAGAGACGGGGCTTCACCATGTTGGCCACGCTGGTTTCAGATCCTTGACCTTGTGATCCACTTGCCTCAGCCTCCCAAAGTGCTGGAATTACAGGCGTGAGCCACTGCCCTGACCAATTATACAGATTCTGGAAACTATATGGAGTAGTAAAACCAGTTATCAATTATGAATGAATATCTTCAAAGACATAATTTATCACTGTAAAGCCAATCATAAACCAAAATTTTTTTTTTTTGAGATGGAGTTTCGCTGTTGTTACCCAGACTAAAGTGCAATGGCACGATCTTGGCTCACCGCAACCTCTGCCTTCTGGGTTCAAGCAATTCTCTTGCCTCAGCCTCCTGAGTAGCTGGAACTACAGGCGCGCAACACCATGCCCAGCTAATTTTTGTACTTTTAGTAGAGACAGGGTTTCACCTTGTTGACCAGGATGGTCTCGATCTCTTGACCTTGTGATCACCCGCCTCAGCCTCCCAAAGTGCTGGGATTATAGGCATGAGCCACCGCACCTGGCCGAATCCAAAAATTTTTAAGAAGAAAAATATCCTTTGCTTCCTTCCTCTCCCAGATATATTTTTGAGTCTTCACATCTCAAGAGCACTCAGATAAACTCAAAATGCCTTGGGAAGAAATTCCACATAGGTCCAGATAAATGTAGATAAGCTACATGACTCCCTGAAGTGGTCAAAATGTAAGCCCTCCACACTCACAGATTTCCGTTCATGGTTTCACATAGCTCATTATTGTCTGTCCCAGTCAACACACTAGGGAAAGACAGTGTAGTAAATCAGTACATATTTGAAGCCTCTTGATTTAGTTGAGCATCCTAAAAGAAGGTTACCTAAAATAGGAATAAAAAAGATATTCCTTGATTTTTTTTTTCTATATGACAAAAGTTAGAGATTGAATTTTTTTGGCACAAGGGCGGGCAGGAGTGGAAAGTTAAGCTATTTAGCCATATCCCCTGGGGAAAGGAAGACTTTAGTACTGGTCAGCTCTTATTAAGGAAAAATATGCTTCAGGTGCTTCTCTTCCCATTTACCCCTTCTATTTCCTTCACATGTTAATACAGGAATGCATAAATTTCCTCACCAAAATAATCTCTCAAGTCATCCCTAACTTTTAAGGATATCTTGAATTTTGAGCTGTCATTCTTTGTAGATAATTACAACATTAAGGGCATGTAACAAGATAGTGTTACCTATTTAATAAAGCTATTTTGTGTATATTATTAAAACTGTACTAGCCAGTCTGGTGGCTCACACCTATAATCTCAGCACTTTGGGAGGCCAAGGTGAGTTAGATTACAAGGTCAGGATTTCAAGATAAGCCTGGCCAAGATGGTGAAATCCTGTCTCAACTAAAAATACAAAAATTAGCTGGGCATGGTGTTGTTTGCCTGTAATCCCAGCTACCTGAGAGGCTGAGGCAAAGAATTGCTTAAACCTGGGAGGCAGAGGCTGTAATGAGGTGAGATCTGTCACCCACTGCACTCCAGCCTGGGTGACAGAGCAAGACTCCATCTCAAAACAAACAAACAAACAAGCAAAATCCAAAATATTCCAGGTGTGGTGGCAGCTACTGAGGAGGCTGACTATATTCCCGGCTACTCAGGAGGCTGAGGCAGGAGAATCACTTGAACTTGGGAGGCAGAGGTTGCAGTGAGCCGAGATCGTGCCACTGCACTCCAGCCTGGGAGAGAGACTAAGACTCCATTTCAAAAACAAACAAACAAAAACTATATCAAAAAATTTCAAAAATTACAAAATGTTAAACCAATTCATTTATAAAGAAATAGAGACAGCATAAAAGTAGAGATTGGAGAACATTAATATTCTATTATAATACTTTTCTGGCACCTTTGAATGCCAGAAAACTAGTATTACTAACTAGCAATACGACCAGTTACTAATACAATTAGTATTACTAATGAAAATTCCTCTGAAGTGGTAAAAATTACCTGGGAATGAAGAAAAAAAATTCAAAAAAACATAGCTATTTAAGAGAAACAAACTGTAGCACACATATAACTTCATTGAAAACATACCTGAGAGCCAATAGCTGGGAATGTAACTCCTTGTTCCTTAAGGTTCTTAATCATTGCTGATATTAGACTAAGCTGTGGGTCATTCTTAAATTCATCTGTCCATTCAACCATAAGAGCCTTTAATTTTTCACATACTTTAGGATGACCCTGTAAAATAGAAAAATAAATGAATAATTATTGCTTTTTCCTGTAAAACAGGAAAAAGCAATTTCCTAGCCAATGATTTAATACAGACATTTTAAATATAAAAATTATAAAGTTACAGATACTTTTTGAATCATAAATTACCCATAGTTATAGACAAATAAGAAAACATAGTTATTAGAAATAAACTAACGTTCCCACTATGAAAAAAAACCCCATCGTATATATCTCACTTCAAAATTAAAGCAATAAATAGGTAGTAACATTTTGGAGATCTGAAAGGTCTTTTCAGAGTATTTTGCAATGAAGCAAGGTTTGTACATCAGTAAGACAATGAAAAGTGTCTGTTTGCTTTTTGCGAAGCAATAAAAAAGCTGGAAGGAGACAATAAATGATATAGTTCCTTTATTCCTAATTCCTGACTTTTTAATGTTCATGACGGTGCAGTTTTCCATGATGCTTAGTTATCTGGGGCCTAGTTTGAGGTACACTGCACGTTAATCATCTTGAAAATTTGATTCCTTCAAAATAATGTAACTCTTCATGGTTGATGTATAACAATGATTCAAGTTAGTCTAAGGTAGGTGTACAGGGCATTATTTTTCTGTATTAAAGAAAGAGATAGGCCGGGCGCGGTGGCTCACACCTATAATCCCAGCACTTTGGGAGGCCAAGGCGGGTGGATCACGAGGTCCAGAGATCAAGACCATCCTGGTCAACATGGTGAAACCCCATCTCTACTAAAAATACAAAAATTAGCTGGGCATGGTGGCGCGTGCCTGTAATCCCAGCTACTCGGGAGGCTGAGGCAGGAGAATTGCCTGAACCCAGGAGGCGGAGGTTGTGGTGAGCCGCGATCGTGCCATTGTACTCCAGCCTGGGTAACAAGAGCGAAACTCCGTTTCAATTAAATAAAAAAAAAAAGGAAGAGATAAATGTAGTGAGTTTTCAAAATAAATTATTTTATTCATTGCTTATTAAGGGAAAAAAACATGATCAGTTCATTAAAATACTGATGTAGCTTCACAGTGGCAATAATTTGATCAATTATTATTTGATGTGGTAGAAATAAAGAAACCTTCACAGATATCAGAGAAAAGTGAAGATAACTCCTCTATCAAATGTCATCAGTGTATTTCAAATCACTGTTTACTAAATAATTCGCATAAACTTTTTAAAATGGAGAAGGCTAGACTTTTAGATTACTCTATTAATTCTTCCTAAGTGCATATAATCTGTATTTGGCCAGGAAGCATATATAATGGATTTGTAAATGCTTTACTGAGACTAAGCGTGAACTCAATTTGTGTAATAAAAGGAAAATTTTTAAAAGGGTGGGATGAGAACAAAACCAGTATGTTCATAGTAAAACATTCAGAAAGAGAAGTCCTCTTGCCTACAGGTAGTTGTTTTTTGAATCGGTTGTTTGCACTGTTATACACAAGTTTGTATACTACATTTTTCACCTACATTACAAAAAACATGGTATTAGAATCTCTTCATAAACAGTTGTACAACTTGATGGACATTCAGGACATTAAAAGACAACGTTTATTAATTAGAAGAAAATAACTAAATATAACTGCATAAATCGGGAGAGAAAAAGAATGAGCACTTAACCATGATGTTTGAAAAGTACAGAATTTTGAATGCATACTATATTTCTATACTACTTTTTTCTACTGTAACCTGGAACTATTCATTTTTCCCAAAAGCATGAGGCATTTTCCCTTTTAACATACAGAAACTTTTTCTTGATTTATAATACTCCCCCTAAAAAAGACAAAAATAATTACCTTTAGAATGCACAATTCTTTACTAGGAAAACTCACATACTACTAATTTAAAATTTACAGATTTCCTGAATTGTATGGTTGGAATTCTACATGCAACTGAATGGGCAGTTGTGGGGCACCCCAGTTCTCCCTGCTTTCTTTCTGTATCTCAACAGAAAAACTGAGTGCCTTGACCCGCTCTGTGACCCAGCCAGCTGCATGTTTTCCACCATAGGTTTGGACCCAAACTGGGGCCCTGGACATTCTCGGGCACTGATAAAGCTGTTCAGGCTGTTGCCCAAAACACAAGAAGATCAAGTATGTTACTAAACATGTAGAAACCAGCCCCAGCCCTGAGCCAAATTCCTTAAAGCCTTGTATAAACTGCAGCCCTCGTGTGTAAGTGCCCCTAATAAATGCTTTAGAGTGATCACCCTGGCATTTAGTGCTTCTTTTTTTGGAATCACAACTGGCCCTATCTGGAACAGTTTGGGGCAGTCCCTTGTGGGAACTCCCCCACCACCTCTTCTTTTGAGGTCACTCCAGCTGTGGTTCAGCCAGTAAGAACAGCAGTATAGTATTAAAATCCTGTGATGGCCAGGCAATGACCTTACTGATAAAGATAAAACCTCAACAGTGCCATAGACTTTTGGCAGTATTTCTGAAAGGTTTTACATTAGGAAAATACCTTGTGGCTATAAAAACAGTACCTAAAATAGGCTGATATTATTTAATTAGATATAGAAATACATGTCTTCTTACCAGATGAAAGTATGATGAAGAACATGCTAAAAATACTCTAATATGGCTTGGAAAAACTAACTCAAAGTTACATAAATCTGTAGTTTCTTCAGCAAAACATAACATTTATATACATGGACAGACATAGCCTAGAAAGGATTTCTTAAAAAGCACAGAATCCTGTGTGAAGATTTAAACAATAAAATATGTGAAGACAGAAGACTGCCGTAATTAATTTCTGGAAATAATGCTCCTTACCTTATTTAATACGTTGCTTACTTCACTAGCAAAATCTCTTGAACATACTTCTAAATGAAAAATTTTGCCGCAGTTGGACACACATGCTCCTAGAAGCTAAAAGCACAAAATCAGAAGTTAAAGGGACTCCACTGCAGCAGATAATTTTGTGGTATAGATTAAAATGAAACCACTCACAGTCAAAGCTTGCATAGCAACGTGAGGATCTTTGTGGTTCACTCTCCTCATAATAGACCGAAGACAATCCTTAGGTCTAAAAAATGGGAAAAGTAAAAATTACTTAATAATAAATCTAGCTTCCCCCTGCCCCTTAACCATTATAGACAAAAGACTATGATACAAAAGGGAGAATATGATAAAGTGGAGCAGTTTAATTTTTATTAATGACATGGTTAAAAAACTGTAAACTAGTTCCTTTAAATTTTTCTTTTTTTTTTTTTTTTTTAAATAAAGATGGGGTTTCACCATGATGGCCAGGCTGGTCTTGAACTCCCAAACTCAGGTGATTCACCCACCTCGGCCTCCCAAAGAGCTGGGATTACAGGCGTGAGCCACCGTGCCCAACTGACAAAATTAACAGGCTCTCTTATTTAGCAATCATTGATGAGGCATTTCCGGCCAATTCTGGGTGGGGAAATAAAAGCTTTGAAAATAAAATGGTAGGCCATGACTTGCACTTCCAACCATGATGGAGAAACAGACCAGACTTACACTCCTGTTGTAAACAATGAGAAAATTGCAAAAATAGATTTAAAATATACACTGAGGTAACTGTTTAGAGATATGAGGCCATAGGCAGTACTGAATGAGACTCCTCAAGAAGGAAAATGAATTCAGTAAGCCAGAAGTTTGCCTCAACTTTCTGCCTAGAGGTACTTCCCAAGTATCAGTGAAGACTTTCTGAAAAAGCCATGCGGGTACAGGTGAACAACTCCAAGAAACTGGTCAAAAAGTGACCAAAGGTGATATGCTAAAGAGATCCCAAAGCTCACACAGTTGTCAGTGACGAGACCAAAGTGAAGCATCTATTGAAAACCCAGAGCATTCCGTGGATATACATGCAGAAGAGTTTAGACCCTAGCAATGCAGCTCAACTATACCCACATACAGCCTAACAACTTAAAAATAAGCCACAGACAAATGTAACTTCTGAAAAAATAAAGTCCAACACTCCTTAACAGGAATACAACACCTGATGCTCAACAATGTAAAATTCAAAATACTAAGCATTCAATAAAATGATACAAAGACATGATATAAAAAAGAAAACTACCATACATAACTAGCAGAAAATTCAGTCAACTAAGAATGCAGAAATAACAAAGACAATGGAATTAGCAGTCAAAGACTTTATATAAGCTATTATATATGTATGCTGGAAATCATCCACATAATGATGAAAGAAACAGTATATTAAAAAGGGCCCAGATAAGCCAGGCGCGGTGGCTCAAGCCTATAATCATAGCACTTTGGGAGGCCGAGGTGGGTGAATCACCTGAGGTCAGGAGTTCAAGAAGAGCCTGGCCATCATGGTGAAACCCCATCTTCAGGGAAAAAAAGGCGGGGGGGGGGGGGGCAGATAAAATTCCAGAGACAAAAAATAAGTAAAATTAAAAAGTGGATGGAATTAATCAGGTAAGAATGAAAGATCAGTAAATTTGAAAATATGCTGAAAGTATCCAAACTGAAGTACAGAGAGAAAAAAAAATGAAAAAATTTAACAGAGAGCCACTACTACAGATATTTTTAAGAGAGAAATGAAAATAAAGTAGCTTGGGTACAGTGGCTCACACCTGTAACCCCAGCACTTTGGGAGGCCGAGGCAGGCAGATGGCTTGAGCCTGGGAGTTTGAGACTAGCCTGTGCAACATGGTAAAACCCCATCTCTACAAAAAAAAAATATATATATATATATATATATAAATTAACGGGACATGGTCCCAGCTCCTAGGGTCGCAGTGAAAGGCCTGAGATAGGAGGTTCACTTGAGCCCCAGAGGTCGAGGATGCAGAAAGTAAGCTGTGATGGTACCACCACTGTACTCCATCCTGAGAGACAGAGTGAGGCCCTGTCTCAAAAAAAAGTTTTAAATTAAAAAAATAAAACCAAAAAAACTATTTGATTGAGACATAAAAGACAAATAGAAGACAATCCTTACATCTAAAAAATGAGAAAAGTAAAAATTACTTAATAATATATCTAGCTTCAGAAGACAGAGAAAACAGAAGAAACATAACCAGTTATCTAGAAAAATGGCAGATTAAGATTGTAATCCAACTACACTTGTATCAATTCACAACCTTTATCAGTTTTCATAACAAGGAATACTAACAGGGATAAAGAGGGACAGTACCTAATAATAAAAGGGTTAAGTCCCCCAAGAAAACATAATTCTAAATATGTATTAATGAACACAACAATAAAACTGCAGAATATATAAAGGAAACACCGATAGAGCTGAAAGGAAAAACAGACAAATCTACTGGAAAACTTTGACATGCCCTCTCAATGACTTAACACAAGAAAAAAAAATTCCTGATAAGGAATACTTGAAAGACACTATCATGCAACTTGACCTGACTGGCATTATAGAACAATTCACATACCCGTGGCAGTATACCCATTTTTTTTTTCATGTGCATGGAAAATTCAACAAAATGTTTTGACTACTTTCTGTCCTATAAAACAAACACTGATAAATTTAAAAGGACTAAAGTCATACAAAGTACATTATTTGACCATAACAGAATTAAACTACAAACTGATAACAAAATGATAGGAGAAAAATACCCAAATATTTGGCAATCAAATAACACATATCTAACACATCAAATGAAATCCCAAAACCATAATTTCCCTTAAGGACACAAAAATGAAAGCACGCTATCCAGTACTCTGTATAAGAATGGTCACAGCAGGTCTGTTCATAGAGTCAAAATCTGGATACAATCCAAATGACCATCAACAGATGAATGGATAACATATTAATACAATGTAAGACCTCTTCGCAAAAAAAAAAAATAAATAAATAATACCGATACACACAAAAATTTGAATTCATCTTAGAAACATATTCAGTGCTAGACACAGGAGTACGTGTGACAATACTATTTCATTTTATAAAATTCTAGAAAAGGAATATTTAATCTATACTGACAATGCATATTAGTAATTGCATAAGGTGGAAGGAATTTTTGGGGTGATTAAATGTTATCTTGGTTGGGGTGATACTTATATAGGTGTATATATTTGTCAAAACTCATCATACTATCAAACCAGTCACTTACAAGAGATGCATTTTGTTGTGGATAAATCATAGCTCAGTAAAAACAGATTTCTTTAAATAGCAGGCAAAGCATGTAGCAAACATGCATTTCATGGGGATGCTTTATGATAATTAATAATAATAGTAAAGCAGAGTAACCATTCATATAACCTATGAAACATCATGTGCTTAGGTTCCCAAAAATTATATAATAAACAAAGGACTCATTCAATGTTCAAAACATTGATAGCAAAGTGAGTCTTCCATTTACTGAAGTTCAGTTCCTGCCCAGGATACCAGTTACCAGGCAGTAATAGGCACTAACAAGATTCATACTCTTAAACACTCTATGTTCTAGCCACAGATGTGCCTCACAATGAATTAAGATAACATAAACAGGGAGCTCTTTATATAAGTCAAAAGAAGGATAGCCTCGAAATATTAAATCATCACACTAAAATGATACTTTCCTCTAATAACAATACATTATCAACATATAAATTATTTCAACTAAAAATAATACAATATATTCTTCACAAGTGCATATGAAACATTACACAGGATAAACAATGTCAGGCCACGAAACAAGTGCCTACAGATTTAAAAAGACAACAATCATAGAAAGCATGCTATCCAAAGACAGAATAAAATTTGGAAGAACAAAGAAATGTAGAAAATTAAAACATGTAAAAATCAACATCCTCCTAAATAGCCAATGGGTCAAAGAAAAATCACAGGGGAACTTAGAAAACACTTTGAGATTAATGAAAAGGAAAATATAACACAAGAAAACTTAAGAGTGCAATAAAAACAGTGCTTAGAAGAAAAGTTATACCTATAAGCACCTATGTTAAAAAAAAAAGAAGAAGAAGACGATCCCAATACCACCTCACACCCATCAGGATGCGTACTATAAAGAAAAAACAAACAGAAAATGATAAGTGTTGACAAAGATGTGGAGAAACGGAAACAATTGTGCACCATTGGTGGGAATGTAAAACGGTACAGGTGCTGTGTAAAACAGTATAATGGGTCCTCCAATAACTAAAAATAGAATTACCATAATTCTATCTCCAGCAATTCCACTTCCGGGCATATATCCCAAAGGACTAAAAGCAGGCAGGGTCTAAAGGAAATAGTGGTATACTCGTGTTCATAGCAGCACTATCACAATAGCTAAAAGGCACGTGTCCAATGACACATAAATGGAAAGCAAAATGTGGTACATACATACATGGAAATACTATTCAGTCTTTATAAAAAGGAAATTCTGACATATGCTACAACAGAGATGAACCTTAAAGCCATTATGCTAAGTGAAATAAGCTTATCACAACAGGACAAATATTGTATGATGCCCCTTAGATGAGGTACTAAGACTAGCTAAAATCAAGCCCAGCCATATGGCCTGTACCTATAATTGCAACACTTTGGAAGGTGAAGGTGGAAGGATTGCTCCAGCCCAGGAGTGAGAAACCAGCGTGGGCAATATAACGGGACCCTGTCTCTACAAGAAAATTTAAAAATTAGCTAGGCATGGTGGCACACACTTGTAGTCCTAGCTATTCAAGACGCTGAAGTGGGAGGATTGCTTGCTGCAGTGAGCCATGATTGTGCCACTGCATTCTGGCCTGTGTGACAGAGTGAGACCATATCTCCAAATAATAATAATAAAAAGAAAGAAAGAAGGAAAAAAAGAATAGTCAAAATCATAGGCAAAAGGTAGAATGGTGGTTGCCGGGGGGCTGGGAAGCAAGGAATGGGGGTTTAATTATTTAATGGGTATACAGTTTCAGTTTTAAGGAGTTCTGGAGACAGATGGTGACTACAGTTCACAACATTATGCAGGTATTGAATACATTAAGATGGTAATTTTTATGCTATGTGTAATTTGCTACAATTGAAAGAATCAGGGGAAAAGATCTCAAATCAATAACCTAAGATTTTACCCTAAGAAACTAGAAAAAGAGTAAGTAAGCACAAAGCAA